CTGGTGCAGGGACAGGGGCTGCCATGGAGATTCTCCTCATCATCCGCTTCTGCTGTAACTGCACCTATGGTAACCTAGGCGCCCCTCCACAGAGGGAGGCGGCTGGAGTGGGCTTGAATGTGTCTGCTGAGGTTGGGGGCAGCAGAGAAGGAAGGGTGGGTGCGTGGCTGGACCAGCGTTCCTGGAGCTGAAGTCTGGGGGCTGCTCTGGGCAGGGTGGCTTTGAAATGGAAGAACCAGCCTTCCCCCACCCTAAGGATTTGAAGGGATTGGTGGGTTCATGTGAGAGGGTCTGGGCATCTCCCTGGAGAGGTGGCTAAGGAGAGAAAGTGACAGGCTGTACCTGCAGGCCTGGAGACCCTGAGGCCAGAGAGAGGGGTCAGTAGGAGAGTGGCATTTGGGCACAGAGAGGTTGCCAGCCTGGGCTAGAGGCAGAAGTTGGGAGTTTCTTTGTTTCTGGAGCGAGGAGAGGAGTGGAGCAGGCGGGTATTGTTCGCTCAGGCGTACACACTGCCTCTCCCAGAGCAGCGGGGCAGTGGGCAGCTGGTGCAGCAAGGGAAGCAACAGGGAATTGGGGTGCTCCGAGGAGGTGTGTCCCCAGCTCCCTGAGACCCATGAGCTGAACTGAGGTGGTGATGCTGGCAGGAGGGGGGTGTGGCAGGCTGCTGCTTTGTGAAGGTCACACACCCACCGCTCAGTGGAAGGGACTGGGCCATCCTCTCTGCAGCTCCCTCAGCTGGGGGTCCTAGGACGGGTGCATGCTGTTACTCGTCTGTGGCTGAAGCACGCCTAGGCAGAGAGGTGTCAGGGGCCCATGGGCCCTGCTGTCTGCCTTAGGGGTGACCCAAGCTGCCTTTGGCAGGGTGTGGGGCGCATGTGTTGCCTCCAGGCCAGCCGCTCTGGGCCATGCATGTTGGAGCAGCAGGTGGCTGGGTTTAGGACCCTCCTCTGCCCACCCACCAGGCGTTTTGTCCTGCCCCCTTCTCAGTCACTTGCTTCCCCGGCCCCCGACCCCCGTGGTGCTCGCTGTCCTAAGGCTGAGCTGAAGAGGCGGCAGTTCACGGGAAGATTGCTGATGAGATTCCCGGACTTCCTCCCAGAGGCACTGTGCAGGACCCCGCCCTTACCTTCTTGGGCTGTCGTGGTTTGGAGACCACTCATGCCAGAGACAGCTCTCGCCGGCCACCCAGCAGGACAGCTGTGGTCACTCTCATTGCTGGGCAGACGGGGCCCTGTGCCCCTGCCCCTCGGCTCGGGTTCAGACAGTGGGGTCAAGAGCAGAGCTGAACTTTACACTGGCCCGTTAGAGAGCGGAGGGGAAATGTTCTTGGTCTGCCTAGTAGTTACTCTGCATCCCTAAGAAGGAAATGGGGTCTGCCTTGTGCTTCCCCTCCCTCCCCAAAAGGAAGCTCAGTCTTAGACAGGCCTGGGACCCAACATTCAGGGCATCTTTGGCTCCTGTGAGACTGTCTTCAAAGTCACTTTCTAAGTGGAGAATGTGGGATGAAGGAACTGGTTCTTTAGTAGGGACTCGCTCTGATAACAAGCGAGGCCAGCTCTCTCACCACCTCTGGCAGATCTTTCCGAGAACCTGCCGGGGTTTGCTGAGCTTTTACAGGTACTGCCCTCCCCTGGGGAAGAGGACGGCTCACAGTTAGGAGCGTGGGTAGACTTCGACTCAAAACCCAACTACCACTCACAGCTTTGTGACTGTGAGCAAGTTACATAATGTCTCTGTGCCTCAGTTTCCTTGTCAGTAAACCGGGGCCGGTCAGATTTGCTTCCCGTTTAATTGCAGGAGTGAATGCATGTCAAGCTGTTAACTAAGGGCCCTCACACAGCGAGTATCCTGCAAGTGAGAGACCAGGTGCCCATGTCAGTGGCTTGACTTTTAGGCCCTGCAGGTGTTTTGCCGGGGTTCTTGGTCAGGGAAGCGTCTTGCAGGAAGAGATGGGGTGGCATCTCGGTGGGCGGTGGGTGTCCCAAGCAAGGCAGGAACGGCATAGTGAGAAGTTGGAGAGTGAGCAGAGCAGGGACTGGAGGCAGGGTAGCCTGCCAGGGCCAGGGGGCAAGTAAAGGGGCAGGAGTTTGGGGGCCAAGAGCCCCTAATCTTGAATTCTCAGGGAAGAGCCTTGGGGAGCACAGACACTCCTCTCCTGGTCCCCCCATATCTGACTGTGGCCCTGCGCCCTCCTCTATTTCCTCTCTCTACTTCTTCCTCCTCCCCGCTACTCCTCCCCCTACCCAGCCTGAGGCTGGGGCACAGGACTCATCCCATGGCCCCAATCCGGTGGCCTCTGGAGGTAACTAGAGACACATTAATAACCTCTCTGAAACCCAACCCGCCATTTGTGCAGCCCTCTGAGCTTAGTCAGAGCCCTCCTCCTCCTGGGACCGAGAGAGGGCTGACAGTGCAGTATCTGCTGTCCCTGGGCTGCACCTCGGCCCACCCTGGCAGGTGTCCACTGAACTTGTGCTTGCTTGTGGGTCTCTGGGATCCTTGGGGTGTGATCTTCCCCCTGAAGACGGGCTGAGCCACAGGTGGGTGCCTCAGACAGCCTCAGATATGGGTCCCTGCCCTGAGCTGGTCACTGAGCTCTACCCTCACTGTCCCCCAAGCTTGGCCCTGTCCGTCTAGGTCCCACCGCCCAGAGGAGGGGCCCCAGAAATTGCTCCATGAGAAGGGCTGCAGATACGTCACAGGAAAGGCATCTGCACGGAGCAGGGGCTCCCTCCATTACTGCCCTTCAGAAGCAGCCATGGAGCGCCAAGGAAATGCCGGCGCCCTGGGTCCCCCTGCCGGGACCCGGGTTTGATGGGGATAGAGGGCAGGCATCTGTATTTTTGAAGAGCCTCCCTAGTGATTCTCAGGGGCCTCGAAGCGAAGGCTACAGATGAGATTCGTGCCATGCCACTGAGACCACGTCTCCTCACAGTCAGAAACCCGCTCTTGAAGTGCTTGTGTAGCAGTTTGGAGGTGTTTGTTTAGCAGCCACAGGGCCTTTATGTCTACGGCTTCGGGGGACTCCGCTTCGGAGGCTGCACAGGCCATGAGCGTAGGTTCTAGGATCTGTCACCACCAGTGTCTTGTGGGACTCCCAATCTAGGCTCCTCCTTCCCGTCCAGCATCCGGCCTCTTACTGCCCCTGGCAGGAGGCCAGAGGTCATGACCCCGTGGACAGCAGCCTCCAGGTGCAGGGCAAAGTTGAACCACCCGTGTTGGGGGGAGCAGACTCAGCTCCTCACAGGAGGGACATGTGCAAGTGCTGGTCTGCCAGCTGCTGCCTCCGTCTGTCCCTGCTGCAGCTCAGCAATCCTGGCCTGGTGTCCAGGCTGTGGAGGGGTGTGGCCCATGGTGGCCTAGCTGAGCTTGCATTTCCCCAGCCTCTCTGAGGTTCCACAAGCGCTTTCAAGATATCTGTGCCCCTCAGGCTGCCACCTGCTTGAGAGCAGAGCTTCTCTGGGGAGGTGTGGCCTGCCTCCTGGTCCCTAGCCTTTCTGCCTTGGGGGTTGAAGGCATGTAGAGGGGTCTTCCCCTCTACCGGTGAGGCCAGTTGTTTGGGACAGAATGAAGCATGCCCGGGCCAGCTGGTAGCATGATGGTGAAGGTGGCTGGATCCCACATGACCAACTACACAGTTTGAATCCTGGGCCCAGCAGCTTGAGAAACATGACAGGTGCATGTGCATGTGTGTCCAGAATTCCAAGAGGAGAATGGAAGAGGAGGGATTGCAGCTCGTCCGTCTCCCCTGGGGGACTTTCTCTCTCTCTTTTCAACTTTCTCCAGTGAGCACACACATTCTATAGCAAAAGAAAAGAAAACAACTTTTTTTGGAATTACTTATTTAATTCCATTTGTTCTTATTGTTATTTTTAAAAATTTGACCAGAGAGAGACAGAGAGAGAAAGGAAAAGCGAGAAAGCAGGCTGCCAGGTTCAGGATCAAACTGCAGTCAGCCATGTGGGAACCCATGCCACCTGCTGGCCCCAAAAAACACTTGAAAAGAATGAAGCATGTCCTTCCCAGCTGGCTGTACCAGGTCTTCTGGTGGAGCGCATGAGCATGATCAGGCCTGGGGAGCTGCCCTCCCTGGAAAACAGCATGTCCCCTTCCCTCATTCTGGGATCCTGGTGTGACCGAGTGTGCTAGACCTCTGTGGGGCATGGCGAGGGTAGCTGTGTGATTCAGGGTGGGGAGTGCAGGATCAGGCAGGACAGACCTGGGGACAGCCCTCGAAGACGTCAGGTCTGGTGGGAAATGACAAGGAGGCAGGGATGGGGAGGAGCCCTGCAGCCAGGGCCGGGCCTCCCCTGTTCCTGATGCTCGACCTGTCCTGGAGTGAGAATGGAGGTGCAGGTTGCCACAGAACCCACTTTGGCTTCCTGCAAGTGAGTGGACGTGCAGGGAAGCAAGATGGGTACCGGGAGAGAGCTGGTCACTAAGGCTCGAACTGCCCGTATTTCATCACCCTGCCTCCTCTCTGCCTTCCCCACAGCTCTGCTCTACAAGCCCATCGACCGAGTCACCCGGAGCACCCTGGTCCTGCACGTGAGTTGAGCTCCCCAAGTGGCCAGGGAGGGGTTAGGAGTTCAGTGAAAGACTGAGTCCAGTGAGAGGGTGCTGGAGTCATTAACACCCCTTTTGGGGAGATTGGCAGAGGGTCCCTGAGCCCTACTGCGGCTGCCTGGCCTGCAGTAACCATGCCAACGGCCTAGGACCTAAATATAGCTTGGCTACTGAGCTTGACATTTGGCCAAATGCTCCCCAGGAGCCAGGCCCTTCCTGCTTCCCGTCCCCTGCCTCGTGGTCTCCAGTGTCCTTGGAGCAGCTGTGGGTGGAGAGAGGGGTGTCTTTCCCAGCTGCTTGGTGAGACGAGACTCCACCTGGCTTCGCTCTGACCCTAAATTTTAGTTCAGATTTCACACACATAACTAGATTAAAATGTGGATCCCCGAGTAGCCTCCTTCCTGTTCCTTAAGTGAGGATTGAGTACGCCCCAGTCTTTCCATGGAGCCCTAGGACTCATTGCCACATCCCTTCCCAGGACCTGCTGAAGCACACCCCTGTGGACCACCCAGACTACCCCCTGCTACAGGACGCCCTCCGCATCTCCCAGAACTTCCTGTCCAGCATCAATGAGGACATCGACCCCCGCCGGACTGCCGTCACAACCCCCAAGGGGGAGGTGAGCCTAGAACCGGCACAGCCTCACGCCCAAGCTGGGGAGTAGGGGTGAACTAGGGCCCCCGTGCCTACTCTCCTTCCTGCACAAGGGTCACTGCTGTGTGCCCCGTGTCTCTCCAACCCTGGTCCCCCGTTCCCAGCCAAGGAGGGGACTTCAGCCCTTTGTCACCCTGATTGCCTACAACTTTTTAGGCCCTAGGTTGAGAGCATTAAATCCAGTGTCTCTTTGCTCTTCATCCTAATCTAATGAGGCAGAAGAGGAAGTCGAGACCTGGCGAGTCTGTGTAGATCTGTACAGGTCTCAGCCATAGTCGTCAGAATCAGATTCTTCACCTAGAGCTATCTGTCTGCGGGTCCGTATCTCACCCCCCGCCCCCCCACACACACACCTTAGGCCATTGGGTCCTTCATTCTTAAATACAAACAGCCCCTCTGGCCATCTGGTGCTCTCAGGGGCAGCCCAGGAGGTGGGGTGAGTGGGAACTCTGAACTTCAGGTTGACTTGTGTAGCCAGGTGAGCGGGAACTAGAGTGAGCCCGGCAGCTACCAAAGGCTGGTACTAGAAGTGGCCGAAGCTGCCACCCTGCATGTGTCCCACGTGGGCACCTTAACGTGGTACAGCAGCTCCAGGTCCCTGGGGACCCAGTGAGAGGAAGCAGAGTGCAGAATCCAAGGGCTAGTGACCCTCCCGGGTCAGCAGCCTGGCCCAGATACCGTGCTTTCTGTCCAGTCGAGGTAATTAAGTGGCATTTGGGTGTGAAGGCTCACTGGGCTTATGCTCCTTTGTTGTATTTACGAGCCTCTAGTGTCTCCTGGGAAGACAGTTAATGAGGGACCATGTCTGGAGAGTGAGTAATGGGGTCTAAGAGCTGTCGCTGTGTGCTGTCCCGCTCTGGTTTGCGGCGCCCCAGCAGGTCACTCGTTTGTTTCACTCCAGGGGTATCCGAAACTTCTCCAGGAGGCTTAGAGCACCATTAGTTTAAGGACCTTTTTCTTTTTACTTGTCAGAGCCATGTGTACTCACCAGAGAGAGAGAGAGAGGACTCACTCTCCTGCAGGAAATGGTCATGCCAGTCCCGTCTCCATTCCTCCATCCTGTCGAGACTTTGGACATGCACCTGTATTTTTCAGGCCGCCAGGGCCAGTACGCAAACTGCTGTCAGATACGTGGGATCCGCTCCCTTCACCCTCAGGCCATCTTACCTGTGGCCCTGCAGTCTGTCCACCTGTGCACTGCAGCAGATGTAGCCCACACGGTACACACCCACACGAGGCTGGCAGATCCAGAGAGCTCCAGAGAAGCCTGCGGGCTCTGAGGGTGTGAGCAGGAAACCCTGGTCCCAAGTGAAGCAACATGTTCCTGACCACTTAGGAGCCAGGTCACAAGCAGCCACAGTCCCCTAGGACACTGCCATGCCCCACTGAAGATAGCCCAGGGTCTCCCACCCATTGAGGGTCATGGATGAGTCCTCTTAGGCAACTGAGGCCTAGTGGGTCTGCAGTCAAAGCTGAGCTGAAGCTAGATCAGGTTTTTAGGTTGGGAGGGGTTTTGGGGATGGGCGCTCATGCCCCAGGGTAGAGAAACCAGGTCATTCCTGGCCTAGGGCCCATTGAGGCAGGATCTGTTGTAGCTGCAGGAAGGGAGAAAGCCAGCATTTCTAGGTCTCATGGTATGAGCCAGGTACTGCACTGTTTTACCCACACCTGCTTGGAGAATCCTACCTTACGAGGCAGGAATTATTGACCCCACTTTGCACATGGTTACGCTGAGACTCGGGCCAAGGAACTTTCCCAAGAAGTGGCAAGATCTCATGCCAAGAAGTATAGCAGGGTCTGGATTCAAACCCGTGTCCGTGTGACTCCAAAGCCAGTGCTCTAAACCAGCAGCCCCTCCCTCTAGCCTCCCTCCCTAGCTGGATGGTGCTCCAAGTGGAGTCTTGGTCCCGGGCTGCACACCTCATTGACCCCACTTTGCACATGGTTACGCTGAGACTCGGGCCAAGGAACTTTCCCAAGAAGTGGCAAGATCTCATGCCAAGAAGTAGCAGGGTCTGGATTCAAACCCGTGTCCGTGTGACTCCAAAGCCAGTGCTCTAAACCAGCAGCCCCTCCCTCTAGCCTCCCTCCCTAGCTGGATGGTGCTCCAAGTGGAGTCCTGGTCCCGGGCTGCACACCTCTCTGAGCAGGCGGTGGGGTGTGCCATCTCCCTCAGACACGGCAGCTGGTGAAGGACGGCTTCCTGGTGGAAGTGTCGGAGAGCTCGCGAAAGCTGCGGCACGTCTTCCTCTTTACAGACGTCCTACTGTGCGCCAAGCTGAAGAAGACCTCCGCAGGGTGAGTGTTCAGGCATGTCGGGTCACAGCTGGGGGGACCAGACCCTGCCCCATGTGGACCCCTCAGCAACCAGGGGCAACCTATATTTTTATTCCTTGTTAAAAGTATCTCAGTTGGGGCTGGCATGTAGCGTGGTGGTTAAGGGCGCTGGACTTGTACCTGGCCTACCACGGTTCAAGACCTGAATCTGGCACACTCCCTCTCTCTCTCTCTGGTCAAATTAAGAAATAATAATAACAAATAAATAATTATTATATCACTTAAGGGCCAACCAGGTGGTGTGGTGGTCAAGGCAGCTGGACCCTACATGGCCAACTTCATGGTTTGAGTCCCAGACCCAGCAGCTTGACATCATACCAGGTTCATACATATGCATGTCCCAAATCTCAAGAGGCGAATGGAGAAGAAGGGATTGCAGCGTGGCCATCTTCCCTGGGGATGCTTTCTCACTTTCTCCCCCTCTCTCCAACAGTGCACATGCACTATAGCAGAACTAAAAAAGAAAAAAGAAGGAATTAGGCCCAGCTATGTTAGTGTGTGTTAGTTGACGCTGCCACTCCGTAGGCTGAGGCCACATGGCATGCCTGGGTTCATTTCCTGGCCCACCTTACCCACCTTACATCCAGGTGTAGTAGCACACTTGTAGTCCTGCTACTTGGGAGGTTGACGCCTAAAGAGTATGACAGAGATTCTGTCTTCAAAAATATATGTACATATATACATATCCTCACACATTCACTTATGAACATTTTATTTTGCTACATAACCTTTTTTTTTTTTCTAAAAATAAATCACATTACAGAAATAAACCATTCACCTACCCGAACATAAGCATCAGTCTCCTGCTGCTGCCTCTCCTTCTCCCTTTTTTAAATGTTCATATAGTTGTAATCAGAGTGAATGCCCAATTTGGGGCTCTGCTTTTTCTATGTCACGTCATAAGCATTTTCCCTATTGCTGCCTAATCTTCATAATCATCATTTTACTTTACTGCATGATGTTACAAATGGATATGCCATAATTTACTTCGGCATCCTCCTTTTATTAGACATTTCTGCATTTTTGCTAACTGCAGTTCTGTGAATATTCATTATATCTACTGCTACTTTTTATTGAGGGCTCGTGCCATACCAGGTGCCATGACAAATGCCTTGTGTACATTATTTTGAATCTTCCCAACAATTCCACAAAGTAGTTATTATTATCCTTATCTCACAGATGAAAGAGAAGACTCAGAGAAGGTAAATAAGTTGCCCAAGGTCACACAGCTAAAAGTGGAGGAGATAGGATTTGAACCCTACTCTCTCAAGAACTCCTTTCCACTTCCATATCTGTAGCCAGGAATGTGGGTCTGCTTTATGCCATGAGTAGAAAAGGTTATTCAGTGTTCATTCATTATCACCTACTGGGTGCCAAGTGCCTACCTTATAGCACAGGGAAGAGAAGCCCATGTGCTCACCACACTGAGGGGCCAGAATGAGAGCTGCACAGCTAAGCCTTGCAAGAGATCAGAGCAGGAGCGATTACTGTGAGCTTTGATAAAGGCCGTGACTCCCTGGAAGTAGATCACATCTGAGGTAGTCCTAAAGCAGAAATGACAATAATAAGCATACGTGACTGCGTTCTGTGATTCCCTGGAACTAGATCATATCTGAAATAGTTCTAAGGTAGAAATGGCAATAAGAAGCATACATAATTTTGTGTTCGGTTCCGTGCCCATGGCAGACATTATTAATCAACCATAGCACTCTTTCTTTAAAAAAAAAAAAAAAAAAAAGATTTTAATTGTTATTATTTTTCAACTTGACCAGAGAGAGAGAGTGATTGATTGATTGATTGAAAGTAAAGAAAGGAAGCCATCAGGTCTGGGACTTGATCCATGGTCGGCCATGTGGGAGTCCAGCACCTTTTACCACTATGCCACCTGCTGGCCCCAGCACTCTTTCTTATTAAGCTTATATGGAACTCTAATTCTTAACACAGTACTTAGGAGACCTCTAGTGGTTGGAGTAGATGTTCAGAATAACATCTGTACTCTGTAGCCTAAAGGATGATGAATGTGAGCTAAGTATGGGTAGGCTAGAAGCAGGAAAAGGGGATGGGGAATAGGAAAAAGTAGAAACCCAACCAAGAAGGCTTCATTCTTCTTGATACCCTAGTGGTTAGGGATGTTTAAAACATCCGTAATTGTGGGCGGAGGATGGGCGAGGAACCTGACTCTCGTTACTCCCCGTGTGTGCTTCCTGATCGAGCTCCCCAAGGGCAGAGGTCACCCTTGCTGCTGACAGGTTCTCAGTAAATCTTTCGGGCCCAGTAGGTCAGGCTTGAAGAACTAGTGTCCCTGTGGCTCAGGTCTCCCTCCCTCTTGGTTGCAGGAAGCACCAACAATATGACTGTAAGTGGTACATCCCGTTGGCCGACTTAGTGTTTCCATCCCCCGAGGAGTCTGAAGCCAGCCCCCAGGTGCACCCCTTCCCAGACCACGAGCTGGAAGATATGAAAATGAAGATCTCTGCACTCAAGAGTGAGATCCAGAAGGAGGTGAGAAGTGCCTGGCATCTCAGCCTGGGGCCGTTGCTAGTTCTCTGGACCCAGGAGTACAGGCCATGTGTTGGGGATGGGAAGGGGAGGGGAGGGGAAGTAGTAAGGTCTGAGGGTCTGAGGGAAGCAGGGTGCCAGGATGGGGCCCTCAGTGTGTCTGTGCTGAGGGAAAGTCCCTGAGCATGGCAGATGAGCTCTGAGCAGAAGGAGGGAGACCAAGGACGCAGTGCTTGGAACTCAGGGGTGTTCGTTGTGAAGAACAGTGCGTGTCGAACACTGAAGAAAAGGGAAGCAAGAGAAGGAAGAAAAGAAGCCCTTAAGGAAAGGCACACATACAGAAGAGAAAGGATTTGGGAGGCCTCTCAGAAACTGACGAATCAAAGGCAAATAAGGAGAGAGGGAACTTGATTAGCAAAATTAAGATATATATCTTTAAAATGCACAGAAGCGTGTGCCCTTTCTAAAGAACTTAGGTTCTCTTCAAACAAACACACATGGAACATTTATAAACACTTTATCTTATATTAAGCCACTAAAAAAAAAAAAAAAACCTCAATTTTTTCTTTTCTTTTCTTTTTTTTTGTACTCAATACCATTGGAACCAGCAAATGGCATAATGTCACTGGACTCCCACATAATCGACTGTGGTTTAAGTCCTGGACCCGGCAGCTTAAACCTCCTGCCAGGCATGTGTATATGTGTGCCTAAGATCCCAAGAGGAGAATGGAGGAGAAGGGATTGTGGCATGGCCATCCCCCTGGGGGGTGATTTTTTGCTTTTTCTCTCTCTATTTTTGTGTCTCCAGTGAGCATACATGCCCTATAGCAAAAATCTCTCTCAAAAAAAATCAATACCATACAGATCCTGTTCATAGACTACAGTACATGTAGAAATCCACAACTAGACTATTAAATTATATGCCTGGAAAGTTAAAACTTTGAAGTTAAAGAGGAAATCAGAATGGAAACTAAACAATTTGGAGCATGAAAACAAGTATTCCATACTAATTTCCACGGGATGTATCCAAAGCACCATTTAGAGGAAAATGTATAGTCTTAAGTTCATATATTCCAAAACAGTGTCTATAGGAAAGCACCACAAGAAGAGCCTTTCCGGTGAGCAGAAAGAAGTTCTGTGGTGTGGTCTCGTTGGCCTGGTCTCTCTCCCTCACCCCTCCTGGCGTGGCTCCTCCCCTCCACCACTGTGGAGGCCTTCTCTGACATCCATTCTCACCCCCTCGAGTCTGAGTTGAGTGCCCTGTTCCCAGCGCATGATGTTCACCTCCGACTTTACTGTGATGGTACTGACTTAGAGCTGCATGGTCAGATTTTTCCCTTCCCCGCTAGAATTTGAATTCTGGTGAGGGGGCTGCTTTCTTTACATAGCCCTAACTCTTAGCATATAAAAAAGGCTATTTAGTAAATTATTATTGCACAGTATTTGACTAGATGGCCTCCAAGGGTTCTTTCAACTCAGACATCTCTCTTTGAACAGGGGAGAGGAAGACCACAGTTTTAACCCCAGGGGTGTTTGGGGCAGGGGGATGTCCTAGGACTGAGGGTGTTGGGGTGCTCCTGCCCAGAGAGAGCATCCTGACCAACACAGGTGTCCTGACGGCTGGGCCTCAGCCTACTTCAGGTGAGCTTATTCCCCATCTGGCACTGCCCACTCTTCTCACTGCAGGGCACTCTGCGTGCATGTTCTCACCCAGTCCTGGGAGCTGGCAGGCTTTGTGCTCCGGATGTGCAGGGTATGGCTTTTGCTCAGTCAACTCAGCCTTCCTGAGCTCCCCTGGCTGCTGGCTGCAAGGAGTTAGCTAGACACCTCAGGGACACCGTTCTCCAGTGAAGGCGGACATGCCCATTTCTGACCACAGAGCATGACACAGACGATGAGAATCCCTGGAGAGGCACAGTGGCCATCCTCTGAGTCACAGAAGATGCAGCCATTGGTTCTTTTAGTTATTATTTTTTTCATGTATCTTTTTTACACAATGACAATTTTGTTTGTTTGTTTTGCCAGAGGGTCTGTGTACTTGTCAGAGAGGGGGACGAAAGCACCACCCCACCACCACCGTGGGCTACACACACATGCACCTGGAATGTTTTCCAAACTACCAAGGCTGGGATTTGAACTGCAGTCAGCAATGCGGAATCTCACTGCCAATGCACTGTGTTTAACCACTGTGCTACAGGGCCAGCCCTTAACAAGTTTTTTAAGTATTTTATTATTATTATTATTATTATTACCAATATAATGCTGGTTTATTATAACCAATGCTCACAATACCAAAGGGTTTAGAATAAAACTGGTCCTTAGCTACCTTCCATTTAACAGTTTCAGGTGCATCTTTCTAAACTATTTCATGTTTATATTGGGTTTGTGTGTGTTTAAGTATAAATTCATATTTTCAAGAGGCCTTCAGAAAGTTCGTGGAAGATGCATAATATGAAAAAATTAAAAACACTATGGATTTCGGGGCCAGCAGGTGGCATGGTGGTTAAAGGCCCTGGACTCCCATGTGGTCGACTGCGGTTCAAGTCCTGGACCTGGTGGCTTGCTTTCTTACTCCCCCCCATAATCAAATTGGAAAATAATGATAAATAAAGTTAAATTTTAAAAATCTTAAAAAAAAAAATGGATTTCAAATTTTTTTACACCAAAATAAACTCAGACTTTCTTTCCATTTTATAAACCTTTTAAAACTTCTTCCTCTCCCTCCCTCTCTCTCTCTATATATATATTTTGTATTTATATATATATATATATTTTTTTTTTTCTCCCTCTGTTTCACATCTTAACCTTTTCATTTACCAGTATGTCTTAGAGGTCCTCGGACCTATCGAATTCCTGTTAGCTGCTGAGGTTGAGGGTGGGTGGGAGTGGTGGGATATGGGATATCAGGCTGAACACAGTCTAGAACCTCACGGGGAAGGCCATGCCAGGCCAGCAGATGTGGCTTTATGCTGAAAGGTGCCTGAGGTCTTTCAAGCAGGGCATCTCTATTGTACTCAGGATTCAAGTTATAGAGGTGACCAAGTGACAGTAGAGAGGCTGATGGCACTGAAAGATTCCGATTAGTCACAGTTCCTAAAAAAGCGGGGTTCAGTATACCTTGTGAGGCCACGTGGGAAGCACCAGGTTTGGACAGGAGGCAGAAGAGCCAGGAAGGCATGGGCCACACTCAGCCTTTCCAGGAGTCTCTGCAGCGCAGTAGGGCAGGGAGACAACTGAGGGCCGGCTGGTTTCGATGACGTGGGCTGGCTGTGGTTATAGGGGTGGTCTCCAGTGGTCTGTCCCAGGCCTTATGTGGTTTTAGCAGAGGAAGTACTGCTTTGGTCAAGGTTGAGAGTTAAACAAAGTAGGAGGCCCGTTGCTGACACGCTGATTCAGATGGCTGGATCCCACATGATTGACTGAACAGTGTGAGTCCCAACCCAGCGAGCTGAAAAACAGGCGGCATGGGTGCACGCTCGCCCAAAATACCAAGAGGAGAAATGGAAGAGAAGGGATTGTGGCATGGCCGTCCCCGTGAGGGGTACTTTATCACTTTCCCTCTCTCTCTGTCTCTCTCCCTCTGGGCAGGCACCCTAGCACAATTTAAAAAGGGAAAGACCTAGGCAAAGTTGGTGGTTGGGGACGTGGGCGTCCTAGGAGTTGGTTTGCATATGAAAGGTGTGCACACAGAGGATCACTTTCAGTCTTAGGAATTAACCAGCCCTGAGAGGGACCTTCTCCTCACCTAGCTTAGGCCCCCCCAAGATGTCAAAACTTCATAAAATGTAGAAGATAAAAACCATGATTAACACACTGGGGGATGCTGTGCTTAGCTGCTCAGGGAGAAGTGGAGGCTGAGAGTGAGGGAGACCATCTGTGCCCTTCTCTCCTGCAGAAAGCCAACAAAGGGCAGAGCCGGGCCATCGAGCGCCTGAAAAAGAAGATGTTTGAGAACGAGTTCTTGCTGCTGCTCAACTCCCCAACAATCCCGTTTCGGATCCACAATCGGAATGGAAAGGTCAGAAAGGGTGGGCTGGGACCAAGGCAGTCCCTTTCTTTAGTCCAGGGCTCCTGACTCTGATCTGTGGGAAGCAGAACCTCAGGCCCCCATTTCCCAAGGAGCCTGCCGGGTCTCCAGCCCAGCCTCCCTCTCCCTACTGGTGTGGAGCTGGCGCCCTCTGCTGGCCACCACTGGCACTGCCACATTTGGCTTCCCTGGAAGCTGGCCACCTGCAAATCCCACCCGCCTTCTTCATGCTTATGGGTGCCTGGGTAAGAAGGAGTTGTGTTGGGGGCTCCAGAATCTTGGAATATTGGTGACCTGCCTATTGTCCCTCACTGAATTCTCATCTCTTCTCTTCAGAGCTACCTGTTCCTACTATCCTCGGACTACGAGAGGTCAGAGTGGAGAGAAGCCATTCAGAAACTGCAGAAGAAGGGTAAGTCCTGCCCGCGTTACACGCCCTGGGGACGCCCGTGGCAGCCATGGGCCTTGTGCACTTCCGAGCACTCAGCTCTTCTGTGTCTCCCCTTTGTCCCTCACGGCCACTATGGAAGTTGCTGGGACAGTGGTATTCAGCTAGTTACTGATCAGTTGAAGTCCAAAGAACTTAAGTGGTTTACTGAAGGCATACAACAAATTAGTGGTAGGACTGGTCCCAGAGCCCAGCTGGGGCAAGTCCATCCTCCTTCCCAAGGACTAACTCGGCCTCTAGAGCTGTTTTCCTGCAGCAGCCCCAGGGAAGAGCAGCAGCACTGGTGGGGGGAGAGCAGCAGCCCCTGTGGGAGAGCAGCAGCCCCCCCCGGGGGGAAAGCAGCAGCCCCCATGGGAGAGCAGCAGCCCCCGGGGGGAGAGCCGCAGCCCCCGAGGGAGAGAGCAGCAGCCTCCGGGGGGAGGGGGGAGAGCAGCATCCCCCGGGGGGAGAGCAGTGGGTGGGGAGCAGCAGCCTGGGGGGGGGAGCAGCAGCCTCGGGGGGAGAGCAGCAGCAGTGGGTGTTGCGGGGGGCGGACAGCAGCCCCTGATACCTGTACTGATGCTCCTGCCTCTCGGCTTCTCCGGCAGATCTCCAGGCCTTTGTCCTGAGCTCAGTGGAGCTCCAGGTGCTCACAGGATCCTGTTTTAAGCTTAGGACTGTACACAACATTCCTGTCACCAGCAATAAAGACGGTAAGATCTGAACCCGAGGCTGCCCATCCTGCAGACTCACGCCCCAGGCCCCGGCTGGGGTTTTCCTAAGGCCCCAACCAGACATTTGGGTGCCCGGGCTGATCCACGCCTCATTAGGCTGGGACTGTTCAGTTGCAAGTACACAGCGCTTAAGAGGGGCCGTTCTCTGCGGAGTCCCCACGTGGCCCCCAGCTCCTCCTCAGCACCCTGGTGTCCTGGGATCATGGGTTTATATGCTCATGAAGTTCAGTAATGGAAACAAAAGGCTGAAGATGGGGTAAGGAGGTGGGGGGGAGGGAAGGGAGGAGAGAGTGACATGAGGGGTTCTCCAAAAGTTCATGGAGGGGCCAAAAAGTGGCTAAGGCACTGGACTCCCACATGGCCACCCCATGGTTCGAGTCTCGGACATGGCAGCTTGCTTTCTCATTTTCTGTCTCTCTCTCTCTTTCTCTGATGAGCACACGTGCCCTATACCAAATTTTAAAAAAAAATGGTAATAACAGTAAATGATTCTTAAAAAAAAAAAAAGTTCATGGAAAGGGCAGGCCCCAAAGCCTAGTGGTTCAGGGAGCCAGATCCCACATGATTGCCCATGATGCAAGTCCCAGTACCCATGGTTTGAAAAATATGCCAGGAGCATGTGCATGTGTGTCCCAAATCTAGACAGAATGGGTACATGGAGGAGGAGGGATTGCAGTGTGTCCGTGCCTCTTAGGGGTGCTGGCCCTTTCTGTCTGTCCATCCCTCTGGCAGTGGAAAATTAATGTTCATGGAAAATATGCATTTTGAAAAATCAGCACATGTATTTAAAAATTGTACCAAAATAAACTTTAATTCCATTCTCCACAAACTTTTTGAAGTTCCCCTGTGTGCCTAGGAAGTAAGGCTGTAAATTTCTGGGGACCAGATCTTGGAATGCCAAGTAAGGGAGTTTGGAGTTCGTCCTTAAAGCCCAGAAGCCTGTGGGAATTTCTGAGCAGGGGAGAGCTGTGGTCAGGGCTAGTGACCAGGCCAGAGTGGGTGGGCTCTGGCTGCTGGCATGGGGCCTGCTCTGTAAAAGCAAGCTTTTGTCAGCACCTCGGTCAGCTCAGGATCCGATGTCCCAAGCAAGGGCTGAGGTGGGCCTTGTCTGTTCCATCAGCACAGGGTTGAGCTATGGTATCATCCCATTTTCACTCTGACAGGTGGGACTGAGGAGGGCAGCCATCAGCGGGCAGGTTTCAGAGGGAAAGAAGTACCCCTGGGGAATGGGAACAAATCCCTGCTACAGGACTGTGGGTGTAGGCTGGCTCCCCAGACAAGTGGAAGAGAGAAAGGCTCAGTGCTACCTGGGGAAGCCCCCATAGGAGCGCGTCTTGGCCTTTGGAAACTTTTCCAGCTGGCCACCAGGTGGCGCTGACAGACCACGGCTCAGGCTGTCTCAGGCCATCTGCCTCCCCACCAGCCTTGGGTAGAAGGGCGACCCTCTCACCACCTCCTCCCCTGGGGGCTTTTCTCTCTTGCAGATGATGAGTCTCCAGGACTCTATGGCTTCCTCCACGTTATTGTCCACTCTGCCAAGGGATTTAAACAATCAGCCAGTAAGTACCCTTGAGCGCGGCGTAGAAGTCGGCAGGCTGTTGATCGTCTTTTCACTGCGGCCCCCGTGCTCATGTGTTCCGCTCTGGGCCGCCCAAGCTGGAGACCCAGCGGCATGCCTTGAGATGTGGGGCTTCCCTGAGGGCCAGGAACCAGCTTCTCTTGGCAGGGGATCACCCTTGCCCTTTGTCTCCAAGATCTGCTTTCACCCAGTCCTCCCTATCAGGCGTCTGAAAAGCTGCTTCAAACACCAGGGCTCTTAACTCACATCTGCCGATGACAGCGGTGTGGCCTCGGGCGAGTTTCTAACTTCTCTGAGCCTCAGCGTCTGTCTCCATTTAAGGCCATCCCAGTTAGCTGTGACCTGAGAGCGGCCTCACGGGTGACCGAGCACTGCACCCACACACTGCCTCACCTCCCTTGTCTCCCCGTCATGGCTGCTATCTGCAAAGCCGACCGTGGGCTCAGTAGTGCAAATCTTTCCGTGTCTCCCAAAGCACAGCTCCACCTTCTGTCTCCAGTCTTACAAACTGACTTACAGGGGGTTCAATTTAGGATTTTTCAACATTTCGGTTTATTAGGACATATGCTCACCGGAAGTCAAGGGGCATTTGTACTTTTTATGCACATAGACATTTTTAAATTATTTATTTAGTTTTATTTATTAATTCCTTTATTTTAATTTGACCAGAGAGAGAGAGAGAGAGAGAGAGAGAGAGAGAGAGAGAGAGAGAGAGAGAGAGAGAGAGAGAGAGAGAGAGAGAGAGAGAGAGAGAGAGAGAGAGAGAGAGAGAGAGAGAGAGAGAGAGAGAGAGAGAGAGAGAGAGAGAGAGAGAGAGAGAGAGAGAGAGAGAGAGAGAGAGAGAGAGAGAGAGAGAGAGAGAGAGAGAGAGAGAGAGAGAGAGAGAGAGAGAGAGAGAGAGAGAGAGAGAGAGAGAGAGAGAGAGAGAGAGAGAGAGAGAGAGAGAGAGAGAGAGAGAGAGAGAGAGAGAGAGAGAGAGAGAGAGAGAGAGAGAGAGAGAGAGAGAGAGAGAGAGAGAGAGAGAGAGAGAGAGAGAGAGAGAGAGAGAGAGAGAGAGAGAGAGAGAGAGAGGGAAAGTGAGAAAGCAAGCTGCCAGGTCCAGGACTCAAACCATGATCAGCCATGTGGGAGTGTCCAGCACCTAACTACCACGTCACGTGCTGGTCCCCTGCACACAGAAATTTGTGAGTCTGTTAGACAGCTAGTAGTTCTACCCATTTACCAGATGAGGAAGCCGAGTCCAGAGAGATGAAAGGACTTCCCATCACATAGGATCAGAAGACTAGGGCTGCCCTCTCTCCTCTCTGCCGGCGCCTCCTCACTCCCTTCTTTCCCTCCCGCAGGCGAGGTCTGCCCTCCCCTCTCCCTGCAGCGCACTGTGAGAGGTTACGCCATTGACCCACAGACAGTCCTTTGATAAACTTACTCTGGTCTCCCTGAGTTCCCGGGGAGAATCGGCCTTGCTCTGTGTCCCCATCATGCTCAGGGCAAACTGGTTACAGCACCCGCTGCTCTGGCACCTGTAATCTGCCTCTCCCTCTGTGGGTCCCTGGGGGGCAGGAACTGGGCCTTGATCCTTGGATGAATGGGAGCTCAGAAGTGCTTAATTTATAGAGCGCCTACTGTGTCCCCGGAGAAAACGAGAGCAAGGTCGGCGTGTGGGCGGTGTGCGTTCAAAGCCTTCTGAGGCTCATCCTCTGCTCTGACTCCCTGGCACCCCTCGGGTTCCTAATACCATTCCCGTTTTGTACCCGAGGAACCTGAGGCTCCAGGAGCTCTGGGGACTCGCCAGTGGTGGGCGGAGTGGGAGGATCTCTGTCTTCAGACACCAATGCTCTTCATTTAGAGCATTGCCCGAAGCCTGGCCAGGCCTACCACGCTCATCACTGGGGCTGCTTATTTACACAGCAGCTTCTTGGACCCTCCCCAGTCCCTCAGAGCCCCCTTCTTGGGGCTGCCCTCAGGAATCTTCCTGGTTAAAAAGCTCCACAGGGCTGTTCCCAGTCCTAGTCTGCAGCCCACCAAGCTGGACTGGCACTGACCCCCGCAGTGTCAGGTGCCTTGTCCCTCCCCTCTCTCCTGCTTCCTGGTGGCCAAGGTGGGGCTCAGGGAGCAAGCCCATGGGGACGAGCAGGCGTCCTGTGCTCCTGGGTGGTTAGGAACAGGGCAAGCTGCTATGAAATCTCTCCTTACCTCTGAAAGTCTCTATCCCCTTCTCCCCCCTCTCCCTGACCAGCTCCGATGTGTGTTCTGGGGGGCTGGGCCCCATGACTCTGCACTAGGGCTGAGCCAGACAGCCAGCCTGAGCCCCACGTTCACCTTCGACCTCTGCCCCTTGCCCGCCTGATTCCCACAGCCAAGGCTTGGCTTATTGCTTCATAGACACCCATCCCCACCACCCCCAGGGCCCCAGAACTGCCATGGAAGCTCTGTGGAGGCAGGGGGGATGCTACCATCCGAGTTGTAGAGGGAAGGTGTGGACTCGCAGGGTGTCTGGGGTGAGGCCTCATCAGTTGGGTCCCAGGATAGAGCACAATTTTCAGCATAAAGGTGATGGTTCAAGACAGATGCAGGGAAAAACCCCACCCGGGCTCCCTTCCGCAGCCCCTCATCCTCCGTGACCTGAAGTGCTCGGGCGGCCGGTTCCACCTGTTCCTCCTGTGCCCAAGCCCTGTCCTTGGTGCCAAGGGTGCACGGTGGTAGGGCCAGAGGCCAGAGGCTCTGCCCCTGGGTGTCATGTCGGGGAGGGAAGGGATGAAGTTCACAGAGACAACTCTGGTTGCAATTAAAGGCCGTGAGGACGTCACTGGGGAGCTGAGCGGGCAAGATGGGGTGTCCTTGGCTTCACAATGCCTCAGGGTTCCGCCAGGCACGTGGGCAGGACCAGAGGCCAGGGTTGCTAAATACCCTCGGGCACCTTCTACCCCAAACACCAGGGACGCCCCTGCTGAGAGCCCCTGGGATTGGGGGTTGGGGAGAGGCAGCTCCTTTAGTCCCTGTGGTCTATGAATCCTTGAGGTGAGGCTGCGTGGGGAGGGGGCAGCCGAGAAGGTGGGGATGAGGAGATGGCGAGGGCAGAGGAGGGAGAGGTCAGCACACGGGGGTGCAGGAGGGGAGGCCAGGCCATCTAAGAAGGCCGAGCAGCGGGAGGGAACCAAAAGGCATAAGGGCTTCCGGGAGAGCATGCCCAGCTGCCACCCCGCAGGGATGTTGGGAGGAGAGAGGCACTTCCCCCTCCTGAGCCGATCGCCGCCACTACCCACCCTGACCTCTCAGGCCTCACTCGGTGTCTCTGCCTGTCCTCCCCCTGCAGACCTGTACTGTACCCTGGAGGTGGATTCCTTTGGCTATTTTGTCAGCAAAGCTAAAACCAGGGTGTTCCGGGACACGACAGAGCCCAAGTGGGATGAGGTGAGTGGAAGGGCCGGTGTCCTCCCTGGGACCCTGCGTGTCGGAGTGTGCCCACCTGTCCCAACGTTCCAAACCTGTCGGCCGGACCAGCGGTGTCCCCGATCCCCCTGCGTCCACCCCCTGCTCGTCTGGCTTCTGATCCCAGCGTTTGTGGGTGTTGGACACTGGGCTTTCAGCTCAAGCCCCCAAACTGCCCGTCACCAGTGACGTGGAGGCCTCTGCGAGCGTCAGCGAGTGAGGATGGTCCCCCATGTCCTGTGACGTGGGCCTCACGAGTGCTGCTCAGGCTCACCCTTGCAGAGCTGAGGCCCGTCCCTGCCAGGAGGTCGTGGCTCTCGGCTTCGGAAGTTGAAGACCCTCTGTCCCATCTCTCCCAGGAGTTCGAGATTGAGCTGGAGGGCTCGCAGTCCCTGCGGATCCTGTGCTATGAGAAGTGCTACGACAAGACCAAGGTCAACAAGGACAACAACGAGATCGTGGACAAGATCATGGGCAAAGGGCAGATCCAGGTGAGCGTCTGGGCACCCAGGCAAGGCTTGGGGAGCCACCAGGAGGCAGGCCTCGTGGTCCAGGTGCTTGGCCTTTTGCGACTTCGACTCAGAGCTGGTTTGAGAAAAATTCCCCAGGATGGTTGCTCTCACCTGCTAGAGATGGCTTCTTACCGTAACCCGAGAAGCCCACGTGCGCCTGGGTCTTCAGGCTTCTGCACCTGGCCCAGGCAGATCAACCGCACTTCTGCAGGCTGGACCGGGGCGATAACAGCTCCGTTTCCACATGTCAGCTTTAGTCTGTGGGTGGCTTGTTCCTGGAACCGTGCTGAGAAGGATTCCGCTGCGTCCCTGAGCGCCGTCTGCTATAGGCGTGGAGTAGGCGTGAGGCACACGTCCTGCGCATTGGCCGTTCTACCGGACGGGCTTGGGGTCCGGGTAGGCTGTGGGGGCTGGTCTCTCGCTCAGGCTTGCTCGGGCTGCACCTCACTCAGTGTGTGTCAGGGTCATGGCCCAGAGCCGGTCTTCTGGATGTCAGTGGAGGCAGGTCCCCCGCCAGGTTAGGAGCGAAGTTGCCTCAGCTGTGGTTTTCGTTGCTCGACAAACTCGGCAGAGAAAAGGCCCTCGTTGGCAGTCTGTGTCTCTGGAACATTCCATCAGTTTTGATAATGGCTGCTACTCACTTACTTGTCAAGAGAACTAGGGTTGGAGGTGGGGTGTGTAGGGGCAGGGTGGGTATTTAGCATGGAGCAGTCCCGACTCCTGTCTGGCACCTTGCATGGCCTCACACTTACGACACAAGTGGCCAGGTTTGGGGGTAGATCCTGTGACTGTGAAGCCATGGGACATGACACCTGGTGTGTACTGGGACTGAGCTGTGGGCACTGGTGCTTGGGGCTTCTTAATCACTACAGACGTGATCTGGCGCAGGCCGCGCAGCTCCGTCTGAACCGGGAGCTACATGATGCTGTTGGAGCAAGCATCTGTTCTCTGGGGCGCTATTGAGGCTGCAGTTTGGTATCTGGCTCTAGACTGGGTGTCCTCTGTGGCATTGCCCCTCAGAGATCCACGTGGGTCTCTTGCTCCCTGCACCTGTCTTGGGCTCTCCTGTTGGAACAGGGTGGGGTTGCACCATTTGGTGGGGACCCAGCCCTGCTCCTCATGTCGCCCGTGTTCCTTCCTGACGCCGTGGGCCTGCATCCCGCTCCTCACACCGTCACCAGGGAGACAGTGCTGCTAAGCAACGGCAGCCCAGTCCTCCGTTATTCGGGAAATGGGGCCTGATGAGAGAGAGCTCCCAGCACAGTCCCTGGAACCCACTGTGCATGGATGGTGTAGAGTCCCGTCTCCATGTCCCCAGCTGGCTGAAGAGACAGGCAGGGAAGGGAATCTGGCTGGCCCTTCCCACCTGAGGAGACACGGGCAGGATACCTGATGGGCTGCCACTCCCCCTGGACTCTTGGTGGCTGTAGAAGGAATAAGGTGAAAGGGTGTTTGGGTGGCCAGCTCAGTGGGCACCATGGAGCCCGGCCCCTCTACGTGCAGATGCCAGGGCCTGAGGCAGCGTTTCCTCCATCTGCACCACAGCCCTGTCCCCCCTCCTCACCCAGGAGCCCCAGGGGAAATGCACCATAAATCATCGAGTCCTGGCGACAGGAGCAGATGGAGGCGGTGGGGGAAGGGGAGGAAGCCAGGTTATGTTTGGCAGAGCAGAAAGCACGGTCTGGTAAGGAGAATGTTTCTGTTTAAGCTTCGAGGAATGTTAAATGCCTGAGAGTTGATGTTAAAAGGAACACAAGCCTTCCTGCTGCCAGCTGACCTGGCTGAGCAGGCAGCTGGGACCAGAGTCCCCTGAAGCCTTTGCAGCCTCCCAGCACTCGCTCCCCAAGGCACAGCCCTGGGCCCTCAGATAGGAGCCCCTTACCAGCCCTCCTGTGGATGGCGAGGGCAGAGGTGGGCCCCCAGGACTGGGCAGTGGCCCGTAAAGTCCTGACCTGTGACCACCTTTGAGCCACCCAGGATGGCCGGGCTGAGTGGAGAGTCTGTGCTGAGCTGTTCCACATGGCCAGGCCTCGTGGAGCCACGGAACGGTCTGTTCCCACAGCCCGTCCCCACCTCCCTTCCTGCCACACGTCCAAGGAAGGGAGCTGGCAGCAACCCCGGGAACTCGGTCCTGCTCCCCTTCAGCAGGCGCTGAGGATGGGACCACAGGTCTCACGGTAGGGCAGAAGGAAAGTAGGCCCCCTCTGCCCTCCACCCCGACTCTAAGCCCTCCAGAGGACGGTGAGGGACCCCAGTGCCTGAGCTCCAGGCGTGTGCTCTCGTGGTGAGCCTCCCTCTCCGAGTTTGCCTGCTGCGGCCATGGGACAGGGAGTGGAGGGCAGGCCGGGGCAGCACTTAGTGACAGGCAAGTGGCTGCGCCGAAGGCCCCTTTCTGAACGTCACCTCACGTGACCCTCGTCCCCGCTCTGCGAGGCAAGCGGCATTGTGCAGACCACACTGAGGCACCCAGGTGACGTACACTGGCCAGGGCGCGCCTGCTGTCAGCGTGCAGGGAAGACCGAGCTGCCTCCTCTGTGCAGCCAGGTGCCCCCGTCTCAGGCCTTCATCAGAAAGTCTTCCTTGGCCCCTTGCGGTGGCGTGCACTGGTGACGCTGCTGCTCTGCAGACCAAGGCTACATGGAAAGCCTGGGTTTGATTTCTGGCCCACTGGAAAACCCATGCGTGGTGGTGCACACCGGTCGTCCCAGCTGCTCAGGAGAATTGCAGCATTGTGAGAACCTGTCTTTATAAAAAAAGAGACATCTCCCAGCATAGGCAAAGGGCCCTGACCTGGCTGGTAGCCTGGAGAAGGAGCCAGAGTGATTTCCACTGTGAGAACCTGCTTTGTGGCATAAGGTGAGCCTGAGGTTTCCTTTACCTGGAGTCCTGTCACCTCTGGGCCGTGGGCATTTCTACCCGGTACACCTGGGAGGAAATAGATCGAACGTGCATAGGAAGAACAGCGGCAGAGAACGTAGCCTGTATCTGTGGTGTGACGGGCCCTGGGCTGGCTGTCCCAGAGTGCAGGGTCTTGTCCTAAAGGAACCTACTGTCAGATTAGAAAGACAGATTGGGCCAGTGGGCAGCATAGTGGATAAGGTACTGGATCCTACATGGCCAACTCTGTGGTTCAAGTCCTAGACCTGGCAGCTTGAAAATCAAAATAGCTGGGAAACAGCAGTTAGCGTAATGGCTGTGTTGCTGAACTCCCACGTAGTTGACCACCGTTCCCGTCCCGGACCCGGTGGCTTAAAACTCACGCTGGGCGCATGTGCGTGCATGCCCAAGATCCCGAGAGGAGCATGGAGGAGAAGGGATTACGGCGTGACCATCCCCTCTGGGGGGTGATTTCTCGCTTTCTGTCTCTCTGTCTCTCTCTGTCTGGCGAGCGTATGCGCCCTATAGAGAAAACCTCTCAAAAAAAAAAAAAAAGAAAAAGAAAATCACACTAGCTGTGTGTGCATGCGAACCCAAATCCTGAGATGATTATGGTGTGGCCATCCCTCCAGGGGGTGATTTCTTACTTTCTCTCTCTGTCTCTCTGTCTCTGGCAAGTGCATGAGCCCTGTGGAAAATATCTTACAAAAGGATTGAGCATTTCCACGTATGCCAGGCCACGCGAGAACAGTGCAGCATGCCAGTGAGATGACGCCGGAGAGCTCTGGTGAGCCCAGTGCTGGGCTGGGTGTTGAGGTCTGTCAGCTCCGCTCCTCACCTGCCCTGTGCGGTGGGCGTGTTCACGCATGTACACTGAGAAGGCTTAACACAAGGGGCTAAGGAACCCATCCGAGGCTGGGGGAGGAGAGCCAGGACTTGAACCAGGGCTGGCAGCCCACACTCCAGAGCTCACCTCTGGGTCTCTGGGTGCCCAGCTCCCTCCAGCATTCTAAGTGAGAAGACCTGAACTTGTGCGTCATGGGCCAGAGTGAGGGAGGCTTCAAGGAGGAGGAGGAACAAGCTGGGTGTCTGAATTCCAAGAGCAAGTGTGTTAAAGAAAACGGCAATAATAGTAAAGAGACTTGAAACATAACCACACACCGTCCCGACTCCCACTCCTCTGAAACACTATTTTATCTTGTGCCTTTTCCCCTCCTCGGGCATTTACATTTTTATACCGTTTTAATCATAGTGTGTATGTTGTGTTTTTTCTATTTTCATGTAGCATTATAAACCTCCTTCTTCTAGGGCTCTAAGTAGCCTTTAGAAGTACCTTGCACGATCCATTGTCAAAAGCGTTTCTTTCTATACCTCAGGGAAACCACGTCTATAATGACCTGCACAGTAGTTGCCATTTTAAGGCTCTGTTATTCTCGCAAGGTGGGCAGGCTCTAGATCAGCAGAAAAGAGGAGGGTGGGCCCTGGAGGAAGCACCCGGTGACCAGAGGCAGGAATGTGCAGGGCTAGTCCCAGGAAATGAAGGAGCCCAGTTCGCCCTGAGTGGGAGGGGTTGTGAGCAACAGCAAGTGCGTGTGTGTGTGTGTGTGTGTGTGTGTGTGTGTGTGTGT